AAACCCCCCCTCCCAGCCACAGCTGCTCTTCCCCACCCACACCGGCCAGCCCACGAGCTCTTCAGCTCCTACTGCCTCATCTTTTGTTGGAGACATTTTATCTGCACCAAGATCAATGGGCTCTTTTGCCTGTCAAATCCAAAGGCGATTAAGCATCTAATTAAATAAGAGCTTCCCCTGGAAGCAATTTGGAACCTGAGCCTAATCCAATAGAGGCATTAAATACTTGATCATTTTTCATCTTAAAGCTTCCTTGCAAGACCCAAACATCCTCTGGTGTTTTCCAGTCAGTCAGTGACTTCTGATCGAGCCCTGTTTGATGAATCCTCCCTCCTTTAGGTGCCATTTCCCAGAGTTCTTTGGCCAGCTAAGCCCAGGACAGAGACAGAGTCCTCTGGCTGCTTTAGGAAGTGGCAGTCGTGCCAGTCCAGGCTGGGCACCCGCTCCCAAGAGGGACCTCTGGAAGTTCCAGGTGCCCGGGCACCACAGGGCAATTTGTAAAGCATGAGGTCAGACTCCATCTCCATTCAGTCTGACCTCAGCAACCAGGGGCTGTAAAATTTCACACACCATAACTCACACCACGCCCCTGTGCCGGGTGTGGGACTGAACCAATCCCCTCCAAAGGTCTCCAGCCCAGATCTGAGGACAGAGATCGAGAGGCAGAGAGTCCAACAGGCCACCTGGCACTGGGCCCACTGCTTCCAAACATCTCCAACCAGGAGGTGAGCTCTGTTTCCAACACGTCTGGCTTCAGGATCCAGACATGGGAGAATTTGGCACATGGTTTGGGTTTTTTCTCTCCACTCAATTAAAAGATGCTTTTTGTAATGTGGTATTTTCTTCCCCTGAAGGGACTCGTATACCATAACAGAACTGAGTCAGGCACTCACCCTCACAGCCAGCCTGGAGATGGCTCCTCCACAAATGTCATATCTGCCAAGGTGCTGCCAAAGCAGCACAAACCCCCAGCCTGGGCACTCCTTCTGCCAACTGCTACCAGAGGGGAGCAAAATACTCACATCTCTCTTCTTCTGCTTCCTGAGTTAGGACTTTAAAATCCAGGAACCAAGTCTCTAGCCAAGCAATGACAAACGAGACGATGGGAAGTAAATAGCCAAAAGCTCCTTTGGTCAGAAGCTGCGTGGAAGAAAGCAGAAGCCACAGGGAGTTCACACAAAGGGGAACAGAGCAGCGACGAGCCATCCCGGAGCAATCCCCCGCGAGCCCAGGGACACCCACCTCGGAGAGGATGACCTTCACAATCAGGAAGGCACTGGACACCAAGGTAGTGACCTGAAACACAAACATCCAGGTCTCAGAACCCTGCCAGCTCCAGGCAGAGAGAGGAAAAGCTGGAAAGAGGGAAGCAGGAGTGGCCTCCTTACCGCTATGACCCACCAGTGGCGCAGCCTCACCACGGCGTAGGCCAGCAGCAGCACCAGGAACCGGAAGAAAGCCAAGACCTTTAAACACAAAAACCCCCAAAACCAGGCTGTGACCTGCCTCATTTCACAGAGCCAGGAGAGGGGTGAGGCTGCAGGGAGAGCCCAGCCCCCCCAGCAGGCAGCCCC